GAAAACAATAACAATGTCGTAGAATGTCAAAACCAAACGAAAAAGACGAAAATGTAAAGAAATGAATTTGAAGAGTAGATTATTCGCCATACCATACCCTGTGTCATTTGTTCAATCTTCATGACCACGTAAATTTCATAATGAAACCAACTTTTTTTTTTTGCAAAACTTTTTTTTTATTCGCCCGCTCGCATCAGTTTTAGGGTTCCCAGAGGATGTCATCCATATAATCAAATCAACATGGCCTAAACTTTAAGTCTGAATCAGATAATACAAAATATTATGAATTTAGCCATTCAACAGCTTCAGGAATTAATTACTTGACATGGTGTAGATCTGTCACAGGTATTTCAGAGATTTGCTAAATTTTTACAACAGAGAATAATACAATTATTTTTTCCTTTCTTACAACATGATATTGCCATAAAGGTGTGCTTTCCAATTGGTATGATTCTTTTAGCTTGTAAGTTGACTTGACTCCTTTTACAAAATGCACCTCTCACTGAGCCTGTGGAATTCTGGTTCAGGAACACTTGATAACCCCACAGTTTTGACTTATAGCCAAAGAGAGAGAAAATATCCATATAAGGAATGCCTGAGAAGATGGTGCATGTTTTTGGTAGATGGAGCAGAAAGGACCAGATGCAAGACTTTAAATGATTGAGTTAACTCAGCGTGCTGCCAAAATCACTAAATTAGCAGTACTGCAGTTTAATTCTTCTGTCCACTTCGAAGAAACATTATAAAATACAGTATTGTGTTCTATATAATAAAATATTGACGCTCTCAGGATTTATATCTGCAAAATAAAATTTAATTAAGGAGAAAAAAGATTCATTTTGATTAAATGTAACATTATCCTAGGAAGTACAGGTCTTTTTTCTACCTGTTAAACTATTTTTTCTTCATTCATGGGAAACCATTAAACAGGGTCATGCTCTTCTTTGTCAGGACCTTCGTGACTGAACAGTTAAGTGGAAATAGAAAGAGGAAATAGCACCTCCTTTTTTGGATGCAACTCAGTCTACTTTTAAACTGTCTACTAGTACTGTAATGTAAACATGCCTACATCTGTAGTCTTCTCATAGTCAATTAAAGAGGAAGACTGTAAATCGGTTATGGCGCCACCAATTAAGCTGATGTAGGGTTCCCAGTAAAACTTAACCTCAGACTTGTCAATTGGGGCAAATACACAACCATTATTTCATGCCACAAAGTTGATAGGTCCTAGCTGATTCTTAAGACTTGGAGGTTGGGTGGATGCAAATTATGGTACATTGTGTAAGCTTTCTTTAAAAAAGTCCAACAGTCCATTTTTTGTAGCCTTGGTTTTTCTCAGATAATAGTTATTTCTCTAATTTATAATAATCTTCCAACAAAACACTAATTATGAGCCATGTAAAACTGCAGGCTCAGGGACCCAGACATGGACACATTCTCAGACTAGGCTTGTTTGGCAGAACACTCAAACTGATGACCAAGTAAGGCATTGTCCTTTAGAAGAACTGATCTAAGCACAGACTCGAGATGTTTTCTTGCCAAAGATTCCTGGTCTAAAAGAAGCTGAGAGCTCTCTCTATCACACATTCACCTATCTTCTTAATTTCTACAGGCCACACAAATCAAACCCTCAGGTTATCAAATTGATTGGAAAAAGCTGAGTTGACATGACAAAAAGGACGCTACAAATTTCTGGATTGTCTAATGGCATGCAAACTGACATGGTCAACCCTGTCTCTGCTGTGGTGTACAATTTCATCCTTGACATTTCTAAAGTAAAAGTTGCTTAGTGGAGAGACTGAGGCATAAGAGTTAGAAAATATTGTCATACATTTTGCTGCTTAAAACAAAGGGATAGATTGTCTGACATTTCTAGAGGTAACAGCAGTAAAAAAATATATATTATATGAGTTCAGTAACTGTTGTCTTTTTTTAAGGTTCTGATCTGATATGAGTTATCAAGGATTTGTTGAAAAGTTGCTTGGTGGAGACTTGTGGTCTTGTAGAGACATTTAGCATAATTGCTTGTTTAAAATTTACATTTTCCTGGTCAAAACAAAGGGAGAGATTGTCTGCTATAGAGAGGGATTGTCTGCTTAGTGTTATAAAGAAAAAGTATGAGTCTCAGAATTCTACTAGGGTAATGACATTTTGACTGCCAGTAATTACCAGGGTTATTACAGGCTAAACACCAATTCTGACTCAACTACTGGCTACATTATTACAATATGACAGCTTTGTGATAATTCTAATGGTACATTTGGGAGAACAGTGTCAAAACGATGTGTTTCTAATTGCAGTGTGCGGTGAAATTAAGGTGTTTTTCAACCCAATCTGCCAATCTAACAGGTGTTAATTGTTTACCTGGCATGACAATAAACATTTATTTAGACAGACAACTCATTTGTCAACAATGTCACAACTAACTCAAAACTGAAAGAAATATAGTCATTGTCTGTATAGCTGTCCCATACATTGTGCAATTAACCATAATTATACAACACAGGCTCATATGCAAAACAACACCATTATCAACAGAAAGGATACACTGCTGGCTTAAATCCAAACATGCTTCTAAAACTCTCAAGTATTTAGTAACCACATTTTTTCTTACTACAGGCATTTTTAGTTGTAGCAACTGTATTGGAATGCTTGTCATGTACATGAATGTGTATTATACTGGCATCAGTCAATCCTTGCCAACTTTTGTTTTTTTCTTGATGTAGCAAAATTGTGTCAGGCCAATACAGCATGTTTTGCACTGTTGTTATTGCCTTGTATATCCCCCCACAGCCATGTATATGTCACAGTGTATGTATTGTACATGTACAATGTATGTATGTTGTGCTCTGCTCAGAACCTTTGCTGAAAAAGGAGCTTTGCTACGACGAGAGGGAATCATCCATGTGCTAAACGCGGCACATGGCAAGTATTTTGCACGAGTAGAGGACCTGTATGAACACCTACAGATCGAGTACCTAGGTGTGCCAGGGAGAGACAGGGAAGACTTTAACATGACCAGGTTTTTCACAGAAGCCGCTGAGTTCATACATAGTGGCTACCTGTCAGGTTAGCTGGTCTGTTGTAATTATGGTTACCAGGCATAACAGTTAACAAAGTGATAATTTTTTTAAAATCCATTTTGTCCGTAACTTACTATAAAACTAAATCAATGTAATTTTAAATTAATGTACATTATAATCCATACACTACCAAAACAGGATGATGTGAAGTGAATAATATGTAACCTCAAGTTTTACAATGACTAAAAAAATCATCAAAGCTTCCAATGGCTATATATTGTGACTGGGCTCATGGCTCCATTCTGTACTTTTGTTCCTTTGTTACATGTACGTTTTTGTGACAATTACCTTGTTCTAGTACAAGGCAGTTTTTGTTCCATAAGTCATGATTTCAAAATCTATTTTGACTGAAAACAGTTCGACAGTTCGAATGTACAGCCTTACAGGAAAGGGTATGACAATGACATTCAAGTGCATATAAGTGACACTCTTCTTTAGTGATGGGTTTTATAAATTCTTTCCTAGTACATGTATAACCCTCTTCAAGCCTTAGAAGGCCTCCTGTGTAGGTTTTGGAATGTAGCAAATGTTGTGTTTAGATCTGTGGGCTTTAGGAGACTTCCTTTATGCAGTATCAATCTTTTTAAAGACTTTAAATGTTCTCTACTGGCCAAAGTCTTGAACATTATAAGATTTCCTTGATAAGCCTCTGAATTTCTGAGAAGGGAGCAAGTATGGTGCTTGTGGGTTTGGCAGACTTCCTGCAAAGTCTTCTTGGGATTTAAGAGATTTCCTGGTACGTAGACTCAAAGGGCGCTTGCGTGTAGACTGTCTACTTGAGTTTTAGAAGGCTTCTCTCATAAGTCTCAGCTGTTTGTATCTGTGGGTATTAGAGAGGTCCTTCATAGAATTCTGCTTGAGCCTGCTTGAGTGTTTCCTGTACTTTAAACTCCTTCTTGAACTTGAATAGCGGCAAGTTTTGTTGTTGTTGTTGTTTTTTTGCTTTTGTATACATACATTGTAATATAATTATTAAGCACTGGCACTTTTTAATGCCTGATGATGTTCAAGCGTTGAACATAAAAAAAGGCACTGCATTGGTTGCTAATGGCTCACATTGCACGCTTTTAAGTAGCTGAAGAGTTGATAAATACTGAGTGGTAAGTTCATTAAAGATGAATATGATGCATGCTTTCTTTTAAATACCCTCCAAGAAAGACAATGTTTGCTGCTGCAGCTGTCTTAACAATAAGTAACAGACTAACTCATATTTTGCTTATTGCTTGAACATCTCCCTGCAAAGATAGCCTCTCTGTGCCATATTTGCACTGAAGACAAAGATAGGTAGCAAGGAAAAGGTAACATTACATCTCATCAGGAAAGTATTCAGATCCTTCAGTTAAAGAAACAAACAAACAAACAAACAAACAAACAAACAAACAGGTATAAGTATCTTACAGTAGCTGATCCTACCTTCCTGTTTTCTTTCTTTTTCTTGTCTTCCTTCTATCTCTCTAGAAGTGATGCAGAAGATGAGCATGGGTTGAGGTTGGAAGGCATCACTCATGTGCTAAACGCTGCACACTGGCCACTCAAATTCGAGAGGGTAGACCTCCTGTACCGGCGGCTGGGAGTGTTGTATCGTGGGATACCTGGGAGGGATAACCCGGAGTTTGACATGAGTTTTTACTTCCATGAAGGAGCTGATTTTATAAGCCAGGCATTGAGTACAGGTGGGATATTGTAGAAGACACTTTTGATATGTTTTTTCTAACAGAGTCCTAATCCGTACAGTGGCCATAGCCAGTATCTTACTATTCTAGAAGAACAATAATTCTAGAAGAACACTAATCAATGGACTTTTAAACAACATTTAACACTCGAAGGTTTAGAACAGCCTGATTGACTCCTAGTTCTAGAGAAACCTTCATCACTTGAAGGTCTAGAACAGCCTCAATTATGTAGTTCTAGAACATTACCATTATCACTTGAAGTTCTAGAATATCCTTACACTAGAGGATCTAGAACAGCCTCAGTGACTCTTTGCTCTAGAGCAATATTGAACACTTCTAAAATAGATTCATTGACTTCAAGTTCCAGAGCAACTTTATCACTTGAAGATCTAGAACAGCCTTGGTGACCAATAGTTCTAGAACAACCTTCATCTCTCAAAGTTACAAAGCAAACTTGGTGGTTCTAAAGAGTATTTGCAAGATTTTTCTGGCCCATCTTTACAGATCTTAACTACTGGTACCAGGATATGTCAGATGTTCCAAATGTCCCTTTTTTGTAGGATTTATAAGTTATCTAGGGTGTCATTTACATGTACATATACATAAACAGAAAGCACCCTTATCTGAGTAGCTTCAGAGTCTTCAGAGTTTGATCAAGGGCTTAACATTTTAAGCTTGGCTGTCTATTAATTGAAGTCATGACATCTTCTGCCATCTGCCTGCTCATGTGTAGGAAAGGGTGTTACTGTTTCACAAAACACAGGATCTGAGAAAGACACACTGGGCAAGACTTACTTTCCTTCCTCCTCTTTGTCTTCCCCTCTTTCCTTCTTCCAGAAAAGATGCAGAAGATGAGTATGGTCTTGGGAAGGGAGGAATCACTCATGTACTGAATGCTGCCCACAGTTCAGACGGGTACAGGAGAGTGTTAGTCCTGTACAAGCAGCTGGGAGTGACATATCGGGGGATACCTGGAATGGATAATGAACAGTTTGACTTGAGTCGGTTCTTTAAAGAAGGAGCAGACTTTATAGACAAAGCAGTGAAGACAGGTGGGGTTGTGTATCATACCTGTCATAGTTCTTTTTATATTGAAAATTGTAGATTTTTATTGTGGCACTGTCAAACATGTACTACTGAGTATTATCTATATACAACTGTGATACAACTGTGTAATGGCCAATTGGCCATTGTGGTCACTAGCTTTCAGGTAGTCCCTTAGATTGCTGACTGAGGTGTCAAAAATTCTAAGCCACAAAAGATCACTACAGGGCAGATTTGACTGTAGTCTCAAATATAAACTGTTGCTGTCCTTGGTGCTGAAATCAAAGTTCATGAGATATTTTCTTCCAGTCACTTGGGTGCACACTATAAGTTTGACTGTCGTCTCAAATATGAAGTGGTGCTGTCCTTGGTGCTAAACTGGAGGTTCATAGGTTATTTGCCCCTTTCTTGGTGCTGAAAGACCTTTCTGAAGCTAGTTTGGCTGTAATTTTTCCACCATTTATATAAATGTTGGGTTGAGTTTGAGTTAATTTTGTTCAGCTGTCCCATAGATATTTTCCCCATTGACCCCAACCATTACAAATCCTGCCTGAAGTGGCAGCCATCTAGTGTGACCATTTTTTCCAAGTCTCATGAGTTGTTTCTGTAGCTTAAAGGCAGGCCTGACTGTAGTCTTATAGGCAAAATGTTGCTGTCCTTGGTGCTGAAATGAAGGTTCATGAGTTATTTTCATTTAGTCCCAGGAGTGGTCTCTGTAGCCTTTAGACAGGTGTGCCTGTAGTTTCAAATGGCAAGTGTCTTTGTCCTTGGTGCTGAAATCAAGGTTCGTGGGTTATTACCCTGTCCTTGGTGCTGAACAAATTGATAGCTTGTGAAACATAATGCTAAAGCTAGTTTTCAGGAGAGAAGGAATAACAGAGGTAGCAAACATAAGTTAAGGTTTCAGTAATTTTGCCACAAAGCTGCTTCAGCCAACCACGAGGTAAAGGTTTGTTCTAATGTTTGGAATTGCCAATGAATTTGCAACTAACATCTTACTTTTCAATTACTAATTGGCATTTATTAATTTGTTCACTGTGCACTTAAGCTAGGTGCTACTGCTTTGTCACAGATGGATTTTTACATGCTTGCTTTCTTTTTCTTTTGCTCCCCCTTCCACCACCCATTGTACATCCCAGAATTGCTGCTAGAGATGAACAAATCCTAAGGTCTGCAGGCATCTCTCATGTGCTGAATGTTGCACATGTGAACCTGCTTTACCAGGAGAGAGTTGCAGACATTTATGAGAGACTGGGAGTGGAGTATGAAGGGATACCTGGTCGGGATACCAACCAGTTTGACATGAGTAGGTTTTTCAAAGAAGGGGCAGACTTTATCAGCAAAGGAGTACAGGAAGGTAGGCACTGCCCAATACGATGGAGGGGGGCTTTTAACGTATAACAAGAGTCACTTACCAATATATGAGCATGAAATAAAGGATGTTTTCTGCAAAAGATTGCTTCATGCTTTCTACAAAATGCAACAACCTAACAACAGTTTTAGTAAGCATAATGATCTTTTCCCCTTTTTGACATACATATAGTTTTCTGAAAAAATTTCATCCATCCTACTTTATTGTCTACCTTTATAACCCCATCTATTGTATAGGGACTGCTCCATGTTCCAAAATATGTTCTAACATACATTTGTACCTATGTTCCAAACAGGTAAGAACATAGGAGTGTCTGAGCATTTATAGGGGCGTCAAAACATAGGGATATCAGAACATAGGGGTGTGTAACCCTAATTCTATTGCCTCCAGGTTTGTAGCTGAAAACCCACAAACCCTGAGAAAAGAAGGCATCACCCATCTGCTGAATGCAGCTCACTGGCCTCTCAAGGCAGAAAGTCTGTCTCCCATGTATGAGGAGTTGGGAATAGAGTACTATGGGGTGCCCAGGGAGGGACAATGTGGAGTTTGACATGAGTCCATACTTTAGTCAAGCAGCTGACTTTGTTCAACTAGGGTTACAGGAAGGTAGGGTTTATAAACATTCTTAGCAAGGCATTACTTAGTTAACATGTGAAGTCTTAAAGCTTGAAACACAAATAATCAGTTGTTTTGCCTGTGGATCATCAGTGTTATATGATCCCCATTCTCTCCAGCTCTCCACTGCATATGCTAACATCTGACATTTTTCAAGCTCCTCTTTGTAATTCTAGAGAACCCTATATCACTTGAAGATAAAGGAGTTCTAGAGCAATCTCACTTGAAGTTGTAGAGCGACTTTCATCACTTCACAAGTTCTAGAGCAACTTTCTTCAAGTT